ATTGCAGAGACACTTGTACATTCATGTTTGTTGCTGCTCTTTTCACAATAGCTAAGAGATTGAAGCAACCTAAGTGTCCCTCAATTGAGTGAATAATGAAAATATGGTTCATTTATATGATGGAGTTTTTCTCAGCAGTAAAGAAAGATGAAATCATGATATTTGAAGATAAGTGGATGGAACTAGAAACTGTTATACTAAGTGAAGTAACACAGACTCAGAAAAAAAAACTAACATATGTTCTCCCTCATATATGGATCCTAGAACCAAATGCTTATAAGTGAGTATGTATCCAGACATAACTACAGGAATCAGGAAAATGGAAGGGAAACAGAGAGGTAAAGGAAAAGAAAAAACCTGAAAGAGAAGAACAACAGGAAAAAGACCTTAATAAGGGAGATATGGATAAAAATTGGGTCAGTTTAAGGGAGGGGGGAGGGAAGGGTATACAAGGAACCTAGGGGATAAAGGGAAGGAAGGAGCTCAAGAGAGGTAGGACCGAAGGAGAAGGATATTACTAAGGGAGAAAGAGGGGAAATGGGGCACCTTAAGTGGGAAAACTATGGTGGAGGGGTGAGACCATGTGAGAGATAAATAATGCCTAGTTTTGAAAACCAGAGGGAACCATATTACTCCTACAACCTACTGACAAATTATACATAGCAGATCAAGAAATATATGTCTAGGTAAGGTTTATCTGAGAACAAACTAGTCTTTGCCCAAGATTTATCTACATGACACATAGTAAGTAAAAATACCAGACTCGTGGAACTAACTTTCTTGAGTGTTTAACAGACATACTTTGAGGTCTATAATAATTTGGTCAGAGGGACATAAAGGACACTTTTTGCTCCTTGCCCTCCTAGGTCGACTAGTTCCAGGGGACTACGAGCATCTCTCAAAATGTCCTATAATTGTGGTGGGTCACCTGTCCCCTTGATCAAGAAGGCCGAGGAGACCCACCAGATGGACTTGAACCAGTGTCCAGTCTACAAAGAGGAGGTTCAACACAAAGGAATCACTTCCTCCATGCTTCCAAGCAAAGCCAACCCTGGTCTAGCAGGACCTTTGACTTATCTTCACATAAGCGGACCTGGTAAAAGAAAGGAGCCAGGGCCTCCTCTCAAGCCCATGTGACCCCTGAGGAACAGATCCTCAAATGACCTTAAGAGTAAAAAGGTTTATCTGGGCCAACTGAATGGCCTTAAACATCCAAAAGGAAAGTATCATCAAAGATTTAAGGGGTCAATATAATTTCTTAAGAGTCCATATACATAGCTAAAGTCTACATAACAAGCAACAATGCCAGAGAGGAGATACCTTGTTTTGATTTGTTGGCCAGGGTGAACAAAGGGACTTCCAAATACTAAAGCAGCATAGAATTGGGAAAATGAACAGCAGACCCTAATCTTATCTAAAGGAGTATTGACAACTGATTGCTGCTAGAAGAGGAACAGCTGACCCTCCTAAAACAAAGGCCTCTAGATAGTCTGACTAGATTCACCAGAAGGGCAAGTAGCGGGGATTGGCTGGGGGTGCCAACAACACAGCGAACAGTAGCAGGGATATCAGAGTATAAGAGCTCTAGTGGCAGGAGGGAGGCTATGGGAGGGTGCTATCTGGGAATTTAGGACACTGAAAATTTCATAAGGATTCCCCAAAAGCCTTCTAAATGTAAAAATTAGTTGTGTGCCTTCAGAAAAGGAACCAGGGGGCTGAAGAGATGGCTCAGAGGTTAAGAGGACTGGCTGCTCTTGGAGAGGACCCAGGTTTGATTCCCAGACCCCACATGGTGGCTAACAACCATCTGTAACTCTAGTTCCAGGGGAATCCAATGTCTTCCTCTGACCTCCATGGGCACTGCACAACATGGGTTCACTTACATACATGTAAGGCAATATACTCAATACACATAAAATAAAAATAAATAAAATATAGAAAAAGAAAAAGAACTGGTACTACAAACAAACTCTCGAATGTTAGTCAAGTGCATATTGAACCCAGAGTGAATCGATGGCTTCAGGACAGTGGGAGATGGTTGTTTTCATTTTAAAATTTATTTATTTTTATTTTATGTGTATGAGTGATTTGCCTGCATGTACGTAAGTGCACCCATGTCATGAAAAACCTGCAGCAGCCAGAGGCAAGAGTGTTGGATCCCTTGGAACTGGAGTTATGAATAGCTGTTAGCTGCCATGTGGGTGCTAGAAATCAGGCCTCTGCAAGAGTAGTCCGTATCCTTCATGCTGAACCATATTTCCAGTCCTGTTTTCTTTTCTTTTCTTTTCTTTTTTTTTCTTTTTTTTTTTTTTTAAGATTTATTTATTTTCTGCTGGATGTGATGGCACATGCCTTTAATCCCAGCACTTGGGAGGCAGAGGCAGACAGATCTCTGTGAGATTGAGGCTAGCCTGGTCTACATATCGAGCTCCAGGCCAGCTGGGGCTACAGGGAGACCCTGTCTCAAAAAGACGAAAAAGAAAATTTAAAGTAATGTTTATGGGGATAATTTGGTAAAAGCACAAAGAACTGCTTGTGTTTTATTTCATTTACAGTGAGGGAAAGAGCATTCGTTTGAATCTGCTTCTTCCTCATACCATCATAACATTTCAGAACACATTATATATTGGTATTATAGTGCTATGGGTTTGCTTTTCCATGTTAAAGCCCCTCTGCATTTACCAGAATGCAATGTACTACTTTAGCTAGAGATCCAGGGCTATAAACCCTGTTTAGTGCAATAAGATCATTTTAATAATATTCTAATCTTGGGATGTAGTTATAAAGATATATGATGGCCACAATGTGCTACTTACAAACAGAAATGGCTCTTGTGAGATATATATATGTGTGTGTGCGTGCGTGTGCGTGCGTGTGTGTGTGTGTGTGTGTGTGTGTGTGTGTATCTCAGCACCTGAAAATGTAGCCCAAAAATTTTTCCCCACATTTTTCTAGTTGAGTTTACATACCTGTGAACTTTTTCAGGAATTTGCAATGGAGAAGAATGGCCACTTTTCTTTTCTTCTAAGTCCCGGAGTAACACATCCTCTGTTCTTCCTTTCTCTGTAACCACTGCCTGTTCTGTCCCAGCCTTGCTCTTATCCACAATAAGCTGGCTTTGGTCAGGGTCACACCTGTACATGAAGACAATGGCAGGTTTCTCACTGGACTCTCCTTTTGCTTCTGTGAACCAGTGATGGCGCTGTACAGGAGGTGGTGGCAGCATGTGGATGACTGTACCATCTAAACCCACCAGTTTTCCCTTCTCTCGCTCTTTGTCTTCTTCCTCTTCTGTTTTCCGACGGCGGAAGAAGCTTTTAAATGATATCCAACGTTTAGGCTTTGCATCAGCTGCTCGCCTGCTGCCTTCAGAATGCAAAACTGATTCAGCTTCTGTTGATCTGGTAGGACTGGTTGGCTTTGTCCAGCTGGTAAAATGCCTCTGCAAAAGGTTACTTGCATGGTAAGGGGAAGAAGTAGAGCGTGGTGGGGGAAAGGGAGGTGGTGGCTCACTCTGGGGGTTGGTCACTAATTTGGAGGGTGGAGAAATGACTGGCTTTGTGACTGGATCTTTCTGAATTTTAGTAGGAGGACTTTCAGTGGTCTGGTGTGCCTCAGTCTCCACACTAGGCTGAGATGTAAAGAGAGATTTGGGCCGGACTGGTGTAGTTTTAGGTATACTTTTTGTAGCATCAGCATCTGGAGGAATGGCATAAAGCTCTTCCACACTGCAAGCCTTAGGGCTAGACTGAGGTGCTTCTGGAGGAGACTGGGGGGGTGGGATAGAAGCCACAATCTGACAAAGCACTGTGCTTGCTTTCTCCCTGATGCTGCCACTGCTGCCCGCCATCTGAGACTCCTGCCCACTTTCTGTTTTGGCCACAGGCTCTTGAGTGGGTCTCTGGATTTTTGTAGGGGAGCTGTGGCTGGAACTGTAGCTTCTCTGTGGAGAAGGCTGACCTCTGCTGAGACAACTGTTAAACTCCTGAACCTTCTGAGCCACTGAGCCTCTTTTATGCTCTGTGCTGTTAGAAAACCCTTTAGCTTGAGGACAGTCAGGGAGTTTGCTAGTGGTGTTATCAGACACTTTGCTTTCAGTTTCTATTTCTTCATAAGTATGGCTTATTACACTTGTGGTTTTTTCCTTTACTGAGAGTTCTCCACTTGTTCCCAGAAAGCTTTTATAGATGGCTAGATTATCATATGCATTTGGATTAATAACAATGGGAACTTTAATAGCATTTTTGGAACTTCGAGCATAGGATGGCTCATCATGAATGATAATGGGAAAAGGTGGCATACCAGCGTTGTTATAACTATTAAATTTTATTTCAGACAAATTAGGTGACTTAACAGGGATGGTTTTGGAGGAAATATTTGTAGCTGTGGGTGAAGTAGGTGCTGATTTATGGCATGTTTTTCTTGGAGGGATATTTGGTCCAGTTCCTCCAGTAATTAATTCTACTTTGGGGATCTTTTGTCGTGGACTGGTGCTGGAAGTCCACACTTCCTGGTATCGGATTGCACTGGATTTTTTAAAATGAGTACTTATTTGTCCTGGTGTCAATGCAGGTGATGTCACTGGAGAGTTTGGAGTAGAAGATGAAACTTTTCTCTTGGGGCTCCCAAGGTGCTCACTGGCCATGGCGGCTGACACATCCACAACGGTATATGGTTTGCACAATGGCTGTTCCAGATTTACGACTCGGTAGGGCTTTGCTTGCTCTTCTACAGGGACAAGGCTTATGGTTACTGCTTGACCAGCAATATCTGTAGAGGCTTTGCTTTCTAGTTTCTCAGTTTGTACAGCAATTTTGCCATCCTTCTCTTCTAATCGGAGAGCAAGGACTGCTTTGTGTGTCTCTGGAACTTTTGCTGAGCCTTTGCAAGTTTGTGATAAATCCTTCTGATTATTACCAGCGAGACTTTCATAGTTAGACTCAATTTCTTTCATGTCCTTAGAATCTCCTGGGTTACCAGGAGATATCGCCCCATTATAAATCTTCTGGGATAAATTACTAGCTGTTTCAGAATGTGATTCTTCCGTCAAAGAGGAATCTGGTGATGTTGAGTCAGATGAAACCATGCTCTGAATGGTTCCTTGACCATAGGAAACCCCAGAATTTTCCTCATAACCATTAAGGATTTCATCATAGCTGTCATCATAGTCTACAGCACAGATTCTCTGCAGAGACTTATTCCTTAGGGGGACAGTATTCCACTTTTTGCTCACAAAGAATCGAACAGGAGACAAAGTGTTTGCCCTAAAATTAGCAAAGCGAGGCTGCCCTCTCATGCGAATCTCCATGGCCAACAGCTCCTCGTCACTCTCATCCCAGCTCTCATGCTCCTCCTCCATGTTACTTAAAAGTGCATCTTCCTCACTCTCCTCTCCACTTGAGAACTCAGGGTAGCAGAACCGGCCTCCTTCATTACTGATGACCTCTGTGCTCCCACTCAGTATAACATGCTTGCCCTGAGTATCCTTCACACCACCTATCATGCAACTTGGTGGAATCTTTCTTTCCAGTGAACGTTTATAGCAATCGTTTATTCTCCCTAAAAATGTTTCTCTGGAGTTTGTTTCATTTCCTCTCACTTGAGGGGTGGTATCTAGGCCTGCTATCTCTTTTAACACATCAGTTAGTCCATTATTGTTATTTGATATCTTCTTTGCACTGTCATTACTGCCATACTGCTTAGGAACATGGCCAAATCCTTCAATATCATCTTCATTATTATTGTTAAGTGGTTTCTGGCTCAAAGAAGTCTTGTTTTGGTTCCATCCTATGATGACAGGTTTGTTCTCACAGTGTTCTTGGATACTAAGCTCACCACATACACTTTGCCCATCTGCCACCATCATAGTGGGCTTCACAGCTATAGTGGGTTTTTTAGCCACAGGAGGCCGGAAATTCCCAGTGTTCCTGACACGGTGGTTGTTACTATGATTGGCATTAGTTTTCACATTGCCATGGGTGATGGGTGCCTTCTCAGAGTCTGGGGGAAGCTGGTGCAAGCTTTTAGGTTTGAAGCAATTCTTGCATTCACCAGGTTTCCAAACGTGTTCAGTAAAGGTGTTACAAGCAGACATTTTTTAAAATACAGAACTTCACAGACACTGCTTTTTCTTCAATGCATAGCAAAACTTGGCATATGTTAGTTTTCACTTCTATGTTGTTACAGCAGCTCTTCAATCTGTGAGAAGGAAAAAGGAGAAAAAAATCTGAGTACAAAAGGCATTATGGGGGGCTGGAAAGGTGGCTCAGCAGTTAAGAGCACTGACTGCTCTTGCAAAGGACCCAGGTTTGATTCCCAGCACCCACATGACAGCTAACAACCATGTGTAACTCCAGTTCCAGGGGATCTGATGTCTTCTAACTTTTACTGGTATTGCATGACACAGGTACACTTACACATATGCAGGCAATACACTCATACATGTAAAATAAAAATAATAAAACATTTTTAAAGGCATTATGAGTTTTACTATTGTGAATGACTTGAAAAAATTAGCTTTACTTTAAAACTTTTCCTTGGAAGACTAAGAGATAAACTAATCTGGGGGCTTTAGAGTTTTCCTTTAGCTAATCAGTATCTCTCTACAGCAATGATATCATGACCTCTCTCTCCTTTCCTGGAAGCTGTGAGTATGCACGTTTGTGTGATGTGTGTGTGTGTGCATGTGTGTGTGCGTGTGTGTGTGATATGGAGTGGGGTGTGTATGCTGGAAAGGGAACTAGGTGCCTCACATACATGCTAGGCAAATATTCTACCACTGATCTAGCTACACTCCCACCCACCTGGAAATCCTTTTGGTATTGCTCTTTATCAACCAATCTCTGTTTAACATTTCTTAGTCTCCTATGGGCTCATGTTCTTTCACCTACCCTTAAAATATTAGATATTTAATAGATTTAAATTCAGTGAATTCACAAAGAATCCCCCTCTGCCTACTCCAGTTCTTAACTCCAAAAGGCTTAGCTCCTCTAACCAGCTCTCCTCCTGTACCAAGTCACTTTTTTACTTTCTTTACCTTTTATTTCAGTTACTGTCACCACCATTTACTAGACAGCTAGGCTTCAACTTTCAGACCATGCTAGATACCTCTGCCTTTACTTCAAACTCTGAATCTTACCAACTCTCTAAGTTATTCTTGCCAATTTTATCTCATTACATTTCACTGGAACCTATTCTTGGCATTACCAGGCACTGCTATTAGTTCAGATATTCATTATCTCTTGTCTAGATTACTGGGACAGGTTTTTAACTGATCTACATGCTGTAGTCTTACTGCATTCTAATCCATCTTATATTCAATTTCCCACTTCAAGTGTGGTTCTGAGATGAGCATACCAGCCTCATCTGAAACTTATGAGAAATGATGTTACTTAAGATCCAACTCCAGCCCGCCTAACTTGTTTTTAATATTAGGTGATTCCACTGCTCTACATTATCATCAATTTAACATTTTAAAATGCTAATATGATCATGTCCTATTAACTAGTTCATAACTAGCTATTCTTGGTCAGTCTTGCCTCATGCATTGGTTCCTCAATGTCAGTGTGCACACTGGGGACTAACTAGGTAAATAAAAACTGTATCAGGAACATCCTTACCCTTATCTAGTGTATTACTGGGGGTAAGAATCAAGAATCTGAAATTTTAACAAGTTCTCCAGACAATTCTAAGTTCTTGGTGGTGTTATAACCTTTGAGTTACAAGTTATAGAATCTGTGCCTCTAAGCATTCCAGCTCCATCTTGAATCAGCTCTGCTTATTATTCTGTCCCATTACACTTCTCATTTCTTCTTGGATTACTCAAGTCCTTTAGACATGCTTCCATGTACAAGGGTCTTTTCTTTATTTCTTTCCTTCCTTTCTTTTTTCTTTCTTCTCTCCTTTCCTCCCTTTTTTCTTTCTTAAGGTCTGTGTGATGTGTGCATACATTTGTGTGGGAGTGAACATGTGCACATGGAGGCCAGAGGCCTGTTGCTCTCCCCACCCTTTTTTTTGAGACAGAGACTCTCATTGAACCTGGAGCTCACCAATTTGGCTAGACCGGTCAGTTTTTAGTTTGGTTTCTCTGTTGCTGTGATAACCACCATGACCAAAAGGAACCTGGGAAGGAAAGGTTTGTATTTGGCTTGCAGCTCACAGTCTATCATTAAGCAAAGCCAAGACAGGAGCTCAAGACAGGAGCCTGGAGGCAGGAACTGAAGCAGAGACCACGAAGGAATGGCTTGCTTCCCCTGGCTTGCTCAGCTCCCTTTCTTATACTGCCCAGGCCCAGCTACTTAGGGATGGCACTGCTACATCAATTAGCAATTAAGAAAAGGCCTCATAGGTTTTGTTTTGTGTTTTCAAACAATGAATACTGTGGCACTCTATTTCATGTCTTAAGTTACAGCTACAGACCTTCCTCTACCACCATTGAAGTCCTACGCTTCTATACTGACTATTACAATGAATTGACTGTAGACTTGTAAGGGCTATTTTAACAGCAGAAAAGTTTAGGTTCATTCATGTACGATGACAGTGATGGAACGAACCTTTAGTTTGGTCAAAAATCTCAGCCTTTTTTTTTTTTTTTGCCAAATTTCAGTATGTTTCTAAGGAATGAAATATTTCCTTTAGCTAATGCACATAAAGTGAAGTCTCTTATATAGTCAGTACTTACAAAGTATTTGGCCTTAATGAGAGAATTATAGACTTTTTATTTTTTTGAGACAGGGTCTCCCTGTAGCCCCAGCTGACCTGGAACTAGCTATGTAGATCAGGCTAGCCTACATCTCCTGAATGCTGGGAATAAAGGCAGGTGCTATCATGCCACTGGCTGGAGTTGTACAGGCTTTAAAAAAAATTTTATTTATTATTTTTATTTTATGTGTATGCGTGTATTGCCTGCATGTAGGTAAGAGCACCCGTGTTGTGCAATGCCTGTGGAGGGCAAAAGAGGCTGTCAGA